AGCTATGCTCTCTGTCTCTTTGTTTGTAGTAGATTTCACATGTTTGGTTGATTAAATATTGAATGACCTGACATAAAAAAAAGAAGTGTGTCACTGTGGAGGCAGGCTTTCAGATCTCACATGTGCTCAAGATACCTCCCAGTGTCATTGTGGAGTAGGGTCAGCAGCATGGTGTGTAGCAGCTGGAGTTGTGCATACTCAGCCCACCAACACTCTGCCCTGTAATGAGAAGCTTTTTCCTTGAGAGGAGCCTTCCCACCAGCCTGGTTCCAGAGTAGCATCAGTCCCAAATAAACACACAGAAGGCTATATTAATTATGAAGCTGTTAACCTTGCTTGTTTCTTACTGGCTAGCTCTGACTTAAGTAATTACCCCATAATTGTTAATCTAAGTATTTCTCTTACCGGAGAATAGTTCCGGGCTTCCTACCCCATGGCGGTTACATCTCGAATCTTGTGTTTCTCTTACCCAGAGTCCTTCTGGACTCCTAGTCCCTCCTATCTAGATTCCCTATTGGCCAGACAGTGCTTTATTGACAAATGCACAGGACTTCCCCAACACTGCCCATCCTCATGATCACCCTGGTTTTGAACAATGACAAGATTCCAAGACGAAGAACAGTTCATTTTCTCCAAAGACCCCTCAAAAGACCTCTATGATCCATGCTGCCCCTTGAGGCCATGTTGGTATTCATGGTCTGCTACCTCAGGCCGTGTTGAAGCCCAAGGTTCATGTGAATGTCTGTGGTCTGGGCTGCCACCAGAGTCCATGTCAATGTCAGAGGCTCATGCTACTACCAGAGACCAGGTGGTTGTCCATAGTCTGTAATATTTCTGGAAGCCATATTAGTGACTCTGATCCGTGTTGCCACTGAAGACCATATTGATGTGAGGGGCCTATATTGATGCTTAAAGCCATATTGATGTCTATGATCCATGCTGCCCCAAAAGGCCATGGTAGTGTCCATGGTTCAGCTGCAGCTGGAGACCAGGTTGATATCTGTGACTTCTGTTACCACCAAAGGCCATGCAGATGTCCATGGTCTGTGCTGCCACCTGAAGCCATGTTGATGTCCATGGGCTCAGCTGCACCAGGAGCCATATTGTTGTCTATGGTCCCTGATGCCCCATTCTGCCTCTGAGGTCTATGATGGTGTCTGAGGCCCATGATGAAGCAAAGAGCTGGGTGGATGCCCATGCTCCATGGTCTGTACTGCCACCAGAGACCATGCTGAAGTCTGTGGCATGTACTGAGACTGTATATCATGTGGATATCCATGGTCTGCACTGTTGTCAGAAACCATGTAGAAGTCCATGATCAGTGTTCACGTTGACTGTAAACAGGAAGGAAGCTACTTTTGCAGTGGTACTGATTACTGCAGACTCACAGTTGAGAAAGAGCAACATAGAAGGCTTGTGAGACAATCCCTACCCCCACCCCACCCCCATAAAGTAACAACCTAGACAGAAAGCCATCAAAGAGAATTTAACAATTGTGATAAGGGTACTGAAGTGTAGCCCTCCGCAATTGATGACTTCTGGTGGGAAAGGACTCAGTTCTGTTTAAGGAGCTGGCCACTGGGAATTGGACCATGCTCCAGTGAGTATATGGGCAACACAAATCAGACATGATGCATTTCTTTTTTCCTTCTTTTGGCGGGAGCAGGGAAGTCACAAAGGGGGGGGGGACTTGGGAGTGAACGTGATCAGAGCGCATGATGTGAAATTCCCAAATAATCAATAATAAAAATATTATGTTGGGAAAATAACTAAAAGATACTGGCAAGGGTAATTATGAAAGATGGTAGATATGGTGGTTTGGATGAGAATGGCCCCTGTAGGCTCATGCATTTGAACACTTTGTCCAAGTTGGTGGAATTGTTTGGAAAAGATTAGAAGGTTTGGCTTTGTCAGAGGAAGTGTGTCACTGTGTGGGCTTTAAGGCTCCAAAAGACTGAGACCATTCTTAGTCTGTCTCTCTCTCTCTGCCTCCAACTTGTAGATCAAAATGTAAGCTCTCAGCTGTTTCTACTGCCATGCCTTTGCTCTGTCATCATAGACTCTGACCCTCTAAAACCATAAGTCCCAATTAAATGCTTTCTTTTATTAAAAGAAGAAGAGGAGGAAGCAGAAGGTAAGTTGGAAGAAAAAGCATGTAACCTGCTACCTTGTCTATCCATAGGCGAGAAGCATGCAAAGCAGGCTATCCATTGCTTAGGAATACATACATGCAGCAGAAGACTCTAGGAGTGACGGGGAGAGAGACACAGCAAACTGGAGATAATATTAACCTGTAACGGGAGAAGGGCAGAACTCCAGAGGCATCTTCAGAGGTCTTAAATAGTCACTGTATCTGACTGATTTAGTGATTGATGTTTGTTTGTTCTTGTTTTGTTTTGTTTTGTTTGAGATGGGATCTTACTATGCAACACTGGCTAGTGTCCAATCACAATCCCCCTACCTCAGCCTCCTAAGAGCTAGGGTTCCAGGTGCATACCACACACCCAGTAGTGTTTTTATATTATGCAATGTGATTTGTACCTAGGTTTTTTCTTTCTTATTCTTTGTGCCTTCTGCATATGTCCAGTGTTCCATAGTCATTTTAAAGAAAGGAAGGGGCGACCGTGCTGAATGTTTCGGGGAAAACAAGGGGCCCTGTGCCCAGAGTTTGCTCACCTCTTGCACTTTTCTCATCCTTTGTCACTCAGAGTAGCTCAGACTGTCCCAGCTTTCTGGGCTTCTCTGAAGTTAAGGTTCATTTGGTGGCAAAGTGGTTTCCATGTGTCAGTTCCCAACCCTGAGATGTCAGAAGCTCCACTGGGAGTCACGCCAAGAAAGCAATTAAGAGCATAGGTTTCCTCGCAGGAGACATTGCAGGGATCTTGGGCAAGCTCAGGGTGTGTTGATGGGCCCTTCGGGGGCCACAGAGGCTTGGAGCAGGAACATGCTCCATACGTAAAAGCCCTCAGGGCAAAACAAAGGGTCAGGCAGCTGGCTCCCTGCCTCCCTACGAGACTGACTGACTAGTCCTCTAAAGTGCATGGGGACATCTGCATGGGGACATCTGGAAGGAGGCCCAGCACCCCTCACTCTAAGCGTGCACTCCAAGAGGTCAGTTTCCACCTTTCCCTGGGACACCCAAAGGCTGCGCTCTCAAGGTCCTCCCAGCAGCAAACCCTGGCCTGTTTGCTCACTCTCTAGCTTTGAGAGAGGTTTGCCTGCCATCAGAACAGTTGGTCAGAGTCAAGGACAGAGTGTCCAAGGTCCTATGTTTTGTCTGGGACTATAGCAAGGTGGGGAGGGAATAAGGAAGCAAAACCAAAATCTGAGGGGCAGCTCTGCCCTGACCAGCCTCCAACCATTTACCAGGACTGTGTTCTCTCCATTTTTCCCAAAACACAGGTTTTTTTTACATTTCCTTATCTCGCCATCTCCCTCTGTTTTTGTCCTTTCCTCCCAAACTGCTTCTTTAGGAGGCAAACCACTGTTTCTTCCTTTGGAATGCCTTCTATCTTCTTAACCACATTCTGCCAGCTCTTGGAACTTGGTTTCCATTACTGACCATGGCCCACATAAGACAATGGAAGAGCTTCCCAATAGAGCTCCAAGAGCAGACTGGATGGGGCAAATCCTCCAGGGCCTGGGGTGGGCAGAGAAGGGTGAGAAATGGGTTTGCTCTCCTGCTTGAGAGCAGTGAGAATTTCATTGCAACCCTCTCAGAGCTGTGTGGGTTGGGAGGTGACACGGTGGCGTCTGAAGGGCCCGAAGGGAGACTCGTTCTTCTGGGATTTGTTACCAGGGTTGCCACTTGAGGGCTGACTCACCCAGGGAGGGCTGGGTATGAGCCAAGGATCAATGGAAAGACTCTAGGGTCATCCACGCTGCCCTTGGCTCTGCCAGCTCAGCCTGCTGGGGGCCTGCCAGGACTCACTAGGCGGGCAGAGCTTAGCTCAGGGAGTCAGGACCAGTTTGCAAAGTTATCCAGGCTGGTTTTTTCTCCACTGAGACAAAGATGCATTTTCTTCCTACAAATGCATCACAAAGCAAACTGTCCTTGCCCCTCATCAAAAGCCAGAAAAGTGTTCTTTCCTTCTCTAGAAAGCTTAGAAACATGCACAAGCAGGCTTGTCTGCTCTGGGAGGCAGCTTGCATGGGCACTGGCCTCTGTGTTATCCTCACAGCCCAGTGGAACCCAGCTCCTTCTGTTTCCTCCATTTACTGACACCCCGCACCCCCACCCAAACCAGCCCACAGGACCTTTACCTTAGATAAGTCCTACTAGAAATTGCTACAATGGAAATCAGAGGGCAAACAAAAATTACCACCAAGAAGATATCCAGGTTATGGACAATTTTACAAGTTATTACAGTGGCCCATTGAGCTTAGGCATTGACCCAAGCCCTTCAATGTCCTTTCCAGACCTCTGGTACTCCACAGTCTTTTAGGCTCTTCTGGCTGGTTCTGCCTTTCCCCCAGAATCCCTAAGTGCTCCAGCTCTATGCAAACCTCCTTCCTCTCTGTCCTCACCAGCAAACCTGAAAGGGCCAACAAGGCTTATGGAGAAATTATTCCCCATGTTCTTGCTCAGCCAGAAAATCAAAAAGACAAAGCCACCAATTTCTGAACCCAAACTAAAACTAGATAGCCACCAACATCTCAACCATAGCTGTGCCTAGAAGCCAAAAGGCTAAAGCACGAGTCACCGTAAAGGATGGTTCAATCTCCCCTTCTCACTCTATACATAGGAAATGAGGTTCTAAGAGTTGGCCTCAGAGCCTAGGCTGACTAGGTTTCTGGTTTTAAAATGGTTTACTTTCTTCTTCACACTTACTGCCGCCTCTCATGATACAGTCCATTTGCTTTTTGGCCTGGGGTCTACCTCCTGATCATCCGAGACCTCACAGGGTTTGGTGGGGCTGCCATTGCCACTGTTGTCCCCATCACCCCACCATAGCATGAAGAATGTATCCATGGATGAGACACAGTGACAGAACATGATGCAAGTTTTAAATACATCCATCTTTATTAGGAGTAGGCTGCTGTCACCTCAGCAGCCAGCCCCCATGTATACACAGTATACACACTCAGCCAGTCCCCAGACCCTCTCATCCTCCTGCAGTACACAAAATGCAAAAGAAGCAAGCCCAAAGGGGAAGGGACTCTACCAACAACAGTGTCTAGAGTCTCCGGGAGCTGACTTCCAAGGTGAACTCCTTCCAGCCCCTTCCCCAACATGATGAGGTCGAGAAGAGGGTGTTTGGATCTAAATCCTCCAATCAGTGCACACAATAGGCAAAAGAGGGTAAGGGATCTCGAACCCAAAGTCTTTCTGGTCCACATCCCAGTGAAGAAGTTCCTGGAGTCTCCCCACCTCCAAGAATGTTCTTCTCTGTAGGCACTGGACATCACTTTACTTTTTATTCCATTACAAGAAACCTGTGCGGTGACCTCATCTCTGCTCAGCACGATTTAACAGAAAATGTTCAAAGCCAAGACAAACTTCCCAAGTTGTCTTCGTCATACTTCTTTTAAAAAGAAGAAATTTAAAAAAAACACTATTGTGACAGAAAAGAATGTGGACACCTGGCATGTGTCGGGAAGAAGAGTGGCCATCCCTCCTTGAAATGGTGTGGAAAATAGCTGACAGCAATACTGCTCCGTTAGAGGCCAGTCACCTTGATGAGGGCGCCTCACTTCCCTCCGCCTCTACCCCTAACCCTTTCTGGACAGCCCAGCACCCGTTCTCCTCGTAGGGATAGAATGCACCAAGCACAGGGCATCATGCTGTCATCAGCTAGCAAGGCTCCCCTTCAGCCTCAGGCCCTGGGGTCCTTTTGTCAATACAACCCTGACATACTGGTTGCTTCCCCCTCACGCTGTCCTTCAGTGGTGACTGTAGCCCAGTCTCTGAGGGTAGAAGCTCTGTCCGATGTCTCTAGACTAGAGATAGACCAGAGTTAGAATAACACCCTAGAGCAGTGCTTCTCAACCTTCCTAATGCCGTGACCCCTTAATACAGTTCCTGGCGCTGTGACCCCCAGCCATAAAGTTATTTTCATTGCTACTTCATAGCTGTTATCTTACTACTGTTTTGAATTGTAATGGAAATATCTGATATGCAGGATATCTGATATATGATCTCTGTCACATATCAGAAAAGGTCACTCCACCATCAAAGAGGTTGCAACCTACAGGTTGAGAACCACTGCCCTAGAGGCTAAATTGGCCACTGGCCAGCATGTGGATTTTGACTACTAGGGAACATGTAAATGAACTGACACAGGCCCTCCTCCCCTGCAGTGAAGACAAGGGTTTTGTTCTTGTCTCCATCAAGTCCTCACTGAGGTCTTAGACACATTGCCTATTCTTTGAAGATGCCCTATTATACACTGGAGCTTCTGGGTCTTCAAGAAATACCCTGCTATAAGAAACACCTGGATTTCTATTTCCCTGACAAGTCTATAAGAATGATAGATGGGTCTCCAGTAGTTCTGCTGGTGGCTTCCAAGTGTCCCTAGGTTAGGGCATGGATTTCTTAGTGTTTCCAAGGAGCCTGAAGAAAAAGACACCTCACTCTGTCTTCATATTTAGAGTCCCAGCAGATAGCCAGGCTGTGGGAAATAGGAAGCCATGCACATACTCCTCTCTATGGCTGGGCAGACCCAGCTGCAATGATAATGACTTAGTATGGTGGAAGCACCAGGTTACTTCTGTCCTAGAGAGCATGATCTGAGGTAGCAACCCATGAACCCCATTTACCTACAAGAAAGGTGAAGGCTTGGAGATGTAATGTGGCGTGCCCACAGGAGACGGCAGGAGCCTCCAGGGAAGAAGGCTGGCTTGCTAGCAGATGGGTGTTCGTTATCTCACCTTCCCAGGCACTCCGGCTGCCCTGGTGGTGGGTACCGGCTATAGTCACCATGCAAGCTCCCTGGGCCATGCAGTGTCTTCACCGTCAGTCAGGTGCACATTCGTCTCAAGATGACACAAGCATCTGAACTCCTTTTCCCCTTCCCAGAGTGACATCCCTAAAGTCAGATCCCACAGCTCAACAACCTGCCCATCCTCACCCCAGTGAAAGAAGAACCTTCTAGATCTCTTGTGCTCCCTGCTTCAGCCACCAAACCATCTCCCTTTTAAGTGGCAGCATCTGTTTGCAATAGTTGCTCTCTTGACCAAGAAGAGGTCCCTGTAGTTTCTCTGGTTGCCCACAAAGCATCAGGGGCCACATGAGTGCTCCCTCCCGCTCATCTAATGCCCGGCCATCCACATTACAAGGTGCTGGTCTTACAAGGAGTGCCAAGATGGAGGGCAAACATGGAACTCCCTGTACAAATCCAAAAAGGGAAGGTGTACCCAAATGAACCCGATCTCATTGTCCCTTTGGCTTCTAGGAACCCCTGAACAATTTTAGTTAGGTCTACATCAGTCCAAAAGAAAAAAGGGCTGAAAGCACCGTGAGAGCCCTGCCTTGTTCAGGGATAGCTCAGAGCTCTGGGATCACCTGAGGGTGCCAAGCTGCAGGTCATGGCTCTTCCAGCAGCCTGTGGCCTCCATTAGGGGGGCCAAGGTCCCTGAAGTTCTGCCTGGAAGGCACCCAACTTCCAGGTTCCTCGGAAGCTGGGCTTCAGCACCTTCTGCCCAGCACCCATCTGTTGAAGCCTCTCCCCACAACTGGGCCCCGAGGAGCAGGGCATGAGGTAGACTGCATTAGTTAGCTCCCCCCTGCCCAGTCCGAGGAAGGAACCTCTCGCCCAGACCCATGGTCCTTGTTCTGGATGTGACACTGTGACACAAGCCACTGGTCACCATCCTCTGCTCCAGCTGACCGCAGTACCAGCCCAACAGCGGGTGGAGAATAAAGGAGTGGAAAAGACAGTCCCCTCAGCAGGGTCTCAAGACACAGAAGTCCAATTCCTGTGGCTTGCGGCGTAGGTCACACTGGTCCCGAGCCAGCAGCCTGCCTCCATGGCCCACACACTTGAGCGGACGCCTCTTAAATCCACGGCCACAGCTCTTAGAACAGGGTGACCAGTTGCCGAACTCCCAGGTTGGGCAGGGTTCCCCACAGGCTCGTTTCTCCACTGGTCGATGGGTTTCATCACAAGCAGAGGCTCCTCGCTGCCCCGGGGAGCCCTGGCAGTCCACTGCTCGCTTCTGTAGGCCACTACCACAGCTCACCGAGCAAGGCCCCCAGCTGCCTGCCACCCAACGTGCAGGAGGCCTGTTGTCTGGCTGCTCCACTTGGTTGGAAAGGCTGAGAACACTGTTGCGCAGCACTGGGGAACCCCGAGGGTCCTTGGGGCGAGAAGACTTGTCCTCCCGAGGCTCTTTGGGCAGATAGAAAGAGTAGCGCACCCGGGGTGGCGTCATCTTACCCACAGACAGGACCTCCACAGTCAGTGGCTCCAGGATGGGTCGAGAAGCCTGTAGGCTCTCTACCGCAGTGCCAGTGCCACTGTACCGTAGCAGACTGCCCTTTACCACCAGGTCACGTTCTACAGCTGACACCACGAAGTGTCCATTGAGCAGATATTTGCCTTGGCTATTCTTCAACGCCAGGTAGTTGTCATCCCCAATGAGCCCCTTGTAGCCACGCTGGCGGATATCAATGTTGGAGGCGCCCGCAGGGATGGCCACTACAAAATTGTAGCCGTGCCTAGAGTAAAGAGATTGTACATTATACAGATGCTTGAGTTAATACCCTTTATCCCCTTCAAGGTAGTAACTGGTTGTGGGTTTGGGATACATCACAAAAATGGAGGTAGAGAGTAAGGCTGCTTAACCACCACCATCCAAGGCTCAAGGAGTCAGAAAACTGAAAGCCTAAGGCTGTGGGACCTGGTGATCTTTTTGTCCTTCAGTAAATTTGTGTTTTGGGTGAACCCAACATAAGTTCGTGGCTTAAAACGAACCACTCCCCCTTGTGTTTCTATGGATCGTGGATAGTCTCAGCATCTCTAAGTCTGTTTCCTCACCCATGAAAATAGAACTCATAGCCCACTCCCTATTGTGGAATGCCATGCTGGTCCTGCCTTAACTTAATGTTCCAGGCTTTGTTGGCTCCCCATGGGAGGCCTTACCCTATGGGAGGAGTGAATTGGGGATGGATTGGGAGGGCGGTAAGAGGGGTGCAGGAGGAGGGGTGGGAGGGTGAACTGTGGTTGAAATGTAAAATGAAATTTAAACAATAAACAAAGAAAGAAAAGAAAAATAGAGCTCACAAGCACACATACCATGGAACTATCCCAGGGTAAAGAAGGCCACAGAACCTAAATCACAAAGCACCTGACACAGAGGACTCAATGGGCATCAACTATTTGGAGGAGCACAGAGAGGATGTAAGTGTACAGTGCTCAAGTCCAAGGTTGTTACTAGGTGAAATCAGAGTAATGACCTTGGAGTCAAGGTGAGTGACTAGGCCTTGACTCAGAAACCAGTCCCCTTTAAGTCAGCTAGTTGCTCTGGGTCCTCCAGACCTCATCCTCATCCTCATCCACACAGGGTGAGTTAAGATAGATGCTTTCTCAGGCTCCATCCAGTTCCTCCGACCCTTCGTGGAACCACCCTGCTGCATATCCTTCAGAAAGGCATCTTCAAAATTCTGCATCAGCAACAACTGAGCTCAAGAATTGGAGCTGAGGAACTTCCTGGTGCATCACCCCTAGGGGCTCAACAGAGGTTGTAATGTCCAGAGGGGGATAGTCAACTCCAGGAAGTTGACTATCTTCAGCATTTGGACCCATGAGTTTTTAGGCTAACCATACACCCAACTGAGATCTCTGGTACTCTGTTCACCCTGTTTCTTCTAGAACATAGGTTGGGACTTCTGAAGGACAGTGTGGTAAGTCTCATAAAGCTGCTGAGCTGCAGACACTAGAGTTTAGACTAAAAGCTGCTAGTTATGGGATACATTTCCCTGGAAGTGGAGATTCCACTCATTCTCTTCTCAATCCCCAGGACCAGGATCTCAAGTCCCACAAGAGCATGGTGGCTGTAACAATGTTACCTCTTTTCCCTCATGAATGTGTTAAGCATTTAGTGCACACCAGGCACTGTGCTACCTTTTTAAAATTAAGTTCCTTACTCTTCATGAGCCTGAATATGAAATTCATCTACAAATGGGTGTCTAGAAGTTTGAAGAGTAAATCATTGTCCAAGGTCATGCAGAAATCAGAGAACCAAGATGGGAAAACACCTCTGTCCTTTTCTTAGTTAGGTTACTATTGCTGTGATGAAACACCCTGAGCAAAAGCAGCTCAGGGAGACCAGGGGCTTGGCCTAGGCGTCTACATCACTGTTCATCACTGAAGGAAGTCTCAACAGGAACTCAAGTGGAGCAGGAACCTGGAGGCAGGACCTGATGCAGAGGGTCATGGAGGAGTGCTGCTTACCGGCTTGTTCAACTTGCTTTCTTAGAAGCAGCCCAGGTGTGGCATCATTCACCATGGGCTGGGCTCCCTATCAATCGTTGATTAAGAAAATGTCCTAGAGGCTTGCCTACAGCCTGATCTTAAGAAGGCAATTTCTCGGCTGAGGCTCCCTCCTCTCTGATAACTCTAACTTGAGTTAAGCTGACATAAAACTAGCCAGCACAGTCCAGCTCTAGAATGCTAGATGGATCCTAACAGCATTTCCATCCCCCTGAATCTCATCTTCTGTTGGAGTGTGTCTTCACACATTCGTCTTTGTTTGCTGGCTGAATGAATGGGTGTGTAAATACATGGGTGGATACATAGAGGGATTATCAGTCCAAAAAGAATATGAGTATCCTCAACAGTATTGATATGCCCATTCTAACGTTCACTCCACCCTAACCCAAGCTTTCAATGCCTAATTTCACCTCCACCAGCATCACTCTTACTCCCCTTGCCTGCACCCAACAGGGTCCAGAACTTACATAGGCTTGGTGAAAAGTCCTGTGACCCTCTTGCAGCTCTTATTGTCTCCACCACACACGCCGCATTTGTCAAACTTCTTCTTGGAGCCCAGGTTCCCATCACAACCTGCCTTGATGCACTTGCCTTGGACACAGACGGAGGTGGAGTCAGGAGTACACAGGGTGCCATCTACCACCTGCGGTGTCCCCAGAGAAAGAAGAGAGAGGCAGTTCAGTGAGGTGCTCCTGTGAAGACTAGACTCTGCCCCCCTGTCCCTGCACACTCACCTTGGGTGCTAGCACATAGAAGTAGCCAGTGCCATTGGCTCGGCAGATGAGCTTGCATTTGTCACGTGGTGATACACCTGAGTACTTGGGTACCCACGCTACAGCTAAGGTGAGCCGGTTGGTGCTATGATTGTAACCATTGAAAGCTTCACATTGCTCCTCCCGGAAGCTCTTGCCAGAGGCTAGACAGGAAGAAAGCACATAAAGGATGCTAAAAGAGGAGCCAAAGGAAGAAACAAAAGACAGCATCTCTACCAGAGGTGCCCAGCTTCAAAAGCCCCTCTGCCATGTGACAGTCATCCCTATCTTAAAATATTAAAGCAGCCTGGAACCAAAAGATACAATACACAATAAGACACCCCATAAGCAATGTGTCACCTTCTCCAGTATCTAGTCTCAAATTCTCTCTATAATGGGTGTCCAAACATTTTTTGGATGATGAAACCCTTCAGCAGCCTATTAAATCTCTTCTTGTTACATTGTTAAATGCATTACATAAATCACATCATTTACAAGAATACCAATTCTATTGATGAGCAACTATCCATATACTGTGAAACATACGTCTGATGTATGTGCTTTTTGTAATGCATTAAGAAAAACAGTACTCAACGATGCCTCAAATGACTGTTGTAATTTTGAGGTTAGGATGAACATAATGGCATTTTGAAAATTCTTCAACAATTGAAGTACCATGTAAAAATATTCAGTTTCAACTGAATATTTTAAAAGTCACAGGTATTTACACCGCTATTGTTCTTTGTTGCCCAAGTGAAGGAAATACTGAATTTTAGATGGAAAGGCAAATTTGAAAGTGCTGAGCTGGGTATGGTGGTGCATGCCTTTAACCTCAGATCTCTTTAGGCTGATCTTTGTGAATTCCAGACCAGCCAGAGATACACAATAAGACCCTGTCTCAAACAAAATAAAGCACTAAATTTCCAATTTGAAGAGAGACTAAGTTTTAGCCAGAAGCATCACTGGAAATTAAAATGTAAATCTTTCCCACAAAGTCCATGGCCCCTGGATTCCTGCTTAAAAGATAGGCCTGTAATAAACTATGAAAGCTTCTAGAGGCCCATCCCTTGTGCCAGTCAGCCTCCCTTGTAAGCAGCGAGAAGGAAGCACCCTCGCCAAAGCTGAGCAGCTGAAGGAACGATGCCAAGGGGAGTCTGCACTTTGCTCATCTCAGGCTCTTTCCTGGGAACTGAGATCTAGATTGCAAGATGTGTGACCAAGAGTGACCTCCAGGCACATAGGCCCCGGCTTCTGCTGTCCTGTGTCTCACCTGAGCTGGGGCAGGGCTCCAGGTTGCAAGATCGGTATTTCACTCTCACTCCCTCGCAGTACTTTCCACCGTTGGCAGGGGTGGGGTTGCTGCATTGCCTCCGGGCCAGCTGCACGCCCCCACCGCAGGTGCGAGAGCAGGAGCCATAAGGCTCCCACTTGGCCCAAGAGCCGTCCACCTGTGCAGACGAGCAATTTATAGCAAGTTATACTCCAGCAGGCCCAGGTGCCACACCCAGCCCCTCACCTACAGAAGCTCCTGTTAAAACCTATCAGTTCCCAGCCCACCTCGCTAGAATGAAGTTCACTTTGAATCATGAGGTTTAAAAAAAATGATAAGCAAACAATCTGTATGTTCAAGACCCACCCTATACTTAAACTGACTCATCAGCAAACACCAACTGTTCCCAGTTAGAAATGAGACTTCTGGGAAGAGGCATCTTAGGTTGTAAAGTGAGTCCACCAACTGAGTGTTATGACTGCCTCTGCCTGCCCCACAGGAGTGGGCTTAGGTGGTAGACAAACCTCCTCAGGTTTCACGAAATGAGGCCAGAAGCACTCAGATCTGGGACTGATTGGAAGATTCAAATTGGGGGGCATGTATGAAAGCCCCTGGCCTGCCTCCATGAAGGATTTCAACGTCTTCCCTGCATGAAGTTAGTGTATCTACAGCTGTCTCCAAACCTTGGGCAAGGGCAACCAACAGAAGTCAACGCACAAAGTTTCCATGGGTGCTGCAACATTTTGATGTGTAAATGTTCTGTCATTCTGACTTTCTACCAAACCAGAATGATTTTGATCTCCATCAGGACTGCCTTTGAGAAAATTCAAGGCAACACATGTACCAGCAATGCTGACATTTGTGCCGAGAGAACTTGTGTTAGAGAGAATGAAGCAACCCTAAGCCACTGTCCAGCTTTGGGATAAATTACACAGTGAGTTTGTCATTTGTTCATTTGTTTTACAGGGCAGAGGATTATAATCTTCATTGTGTTATGTGTAGGATGACAGTAGAATGACACTCCCAGAACAAGTGTCAGCTGGGCATAGAGAGCTGGGATTACAGCTGTCACTCAGAGAGCATCCATAAAGTGGCCAGACTACATGGTCCTACGCAGGAACTACGTGCATGAACTGTTAACATCCCTTCCTTCGTGTTCTGAGAGTCATCTCTGTCTCTGCTCTTCCCTGATCTGAGCTTCTCTGGAGCCTTCAGAGGTAGTCTCCCACACGTGGGTAGCCCCTCACTACGGTGCTCTCTAGAGTAAGCAGTGACCATCTAAAGGAGTGGCTGTGCCCGGGCCTTCGTACCACACCTTCTCTTCAGTATCCACAACCGTAGACAAAATCTATTTGATAGAATTTTTCCACCAATGTGTACAAAAACTTTAATTGTGCACCTGCCAATCATCCATTCATTCACTAAACATTTCCTGACCTCCTACTGTATTCCTGGCACTCGATGCAGCAAGTCCCTGCTATGGAAGCCACTACAGCCCAGTGAGAGGAAAGACAGACAATAAAAATGAGCTGGACTTTGTGTGTATCTGATGAGGTTAAAAGTGGGAGGCGGCAGTGCTAACAGGAGCCTTTGTGAGGTAGACTGCTCTGTGTAAGAGGCTTCTAGGTTCTCAGACATGCTCCTGCCTCAAAGAACTATGGGTATGAGCCAGATAGGTTCTATGGGAAGAGCATTCCAAGCAGGGAAGCAAGAGATGTGGCCAAGAAAGGATGCATGGAGGGTCGAGTGTCATCACAGAAGAGTGGGCAGGAAGTCAGAAGTATGCCGTGGAGGCAGAGACTAAGCTGTCTCCTTCCAAGCTGAGTAGGGAGGCCCTGTAGGGTGCCAGCAGCAAAGTGGTATAGCTAACTCCTGTTTTAAAAGGATCCCACTGGCTGCTCTATTCATGACAGTCTGTAAGACCAGAAATGTAGAGAGCAGATGTGGAGAAACTGCCAAATTCCAGGGAAGAGGGAATGTGGCCTGGAACAGTTTGACAGCAAGGAAGCAGTGAGAAATGAGGTTCTGGGTCAGTTTTGAACACAGGGTCAATGGGAATTGCTGCGATATCAGATGCTAAGTATATGAGCAAATGGGTTTTGGCATAAACAAGTGGAAGGTGCGGTTGCCAAAGCAGGTTTGGGGGATGTGGTGAGGAGCCTGGTTTTATGACTGCCGTGTTTAAAATGTTTATCAGGTGTCCAAATGGACTTGCCAAGATTCACTTAAACATAGAGGTAGTTCAGAGCTGGAGACGTGGCCCAGTGGCACACAGCTTATGTAGTGTACAGGAGGAATGACACCCCAGGTTGATCCCTGTCCCCCACATGCATTATCGGCCCCTTTGAGCTTCCAGGTTTTTTATCTAAGCTGAGACCAGGGAGCACAGTTGCACATTTTACTCCAGCCACATTCACCTCTGCAGGCACACATAGTGAACTGGACTGAACCAAGGTGGTGACCCACCTATGAGACTGTGACACGGAGAGATGAGGGGTTGGGGGGATTTCTAACAATGGGCTGCCGTCTCTCAGCGCAACAGGGAAGAAGTGGGGGCATGAGAAGGAGACAGAGACTGATAGCTGTATGAGCAACTATGGGTCCAGACTGAAGGGTTTCTGGAATTCAAAACCTACATGGGAATAAGTGTGAAGATGGGACATTATGGTTGGACAGAAGCTATGAATAGGAAAGACAAAGGACTTCCTCAAGGCTGCAGTCATTTATAGGATATGCCATTGGGCTTTGACTGGTCAAAGTACTGTCCCCCATGAAGGGACAGGTTTCATCTCACAGAAAAGAGGTTGAGATTATGGTGGAAAGACTGTGTATCCTGGCAATGCTGCCTATGTCCAGTATCCTCTGCACTACTCTTCTGGAGAGAAGAAGCTAGTCATGACACACCAGTCCTCAGAACCTTCTAGTCTGAGCTCATCAGCTTGACCATTAAGCCAAATACAACCTGGCACCCAAGCTACCTGCCTAAAGGCATAGCAAGCAGCCTGCTGCCACCATGTTTCACAAGGCCCACTTCGGCCTTGCCCCCTCTACCCGTTGATATCCTGCTGCTCCTCAAAGCTGTCCTCCTCCTCAAAGTTTCCTCAGTGGCCTCCAATTGCTCTTAATCTCTCACCCTCAGTTCTCCCACGATGCACTGGGCCCATCTTTCCTGACACAGAGTGCACACCTCTGTCTTGCACCCTGATGACAACTCACACTAGACTGTGGTCTCTGACAGCCAGTGTTATATTTTGCTTTCTCATCACAAAGGTTTCCTTAACCCCTGAACTCTATGGATTTGACCTAGTAAGTAGTTAAAGGTTTAGTTAAATACATATTCTCAGTCACAAAAAAAAGATTTTAAGAAACTAATTCTGTACCACATTCATTTCCAGACAATGGATGGGTTGGATTCTTGATAAATGACTGTTTTGTAAGGTTGTTTCTTTGAAACTCTGTACTGCATCCTCTCCCAGCTATGGACAAGGGTAAACAAAGGGCAGTCATCTCTAGGGTTAAGGATGGACTCCTTGTTCCTGCCTGGGAAAGTGCAGATTTCTTTGTTTCCTAACATGAGACCTAAAGAATATAAATTCTGAATTACACTCAGAAAATATTTTGGTTCCCTTTGGTCCAGCTTAATTGATAATCTTGTTTATCTGGAGTAAAATTTTGTTCAATTATGTCTCAGCTAATTAAAAAAAGCACAACTGTAGCTGAACTCAGGATGCCCAGGGTTTTGCTTCATTTCATCCCTACACCCGGTTCATCTGAGTGATTCCACCTCCCTGGATTTGGAAGTAGATGATGAGGGAAGAAAGACAGAGCCAGAGAGCTAGGACTCATGGTAAGACCTTCAGTTCTATCCCAGAGCCTCCCTACACAAGAAAGCCCAGGGCTTGGAACTGAGAGTCCCCAGTCCTGCCACAGGCTTTATCTCATGCATGCAGAGACTGGCTTACAGTAGTGTTTCTCTAGTCTTAGTGTCAAAAAAAAAAACCCAGAGGACTGGGGAGGTGGCTCAGTAGATAAAATGCTTGCTATGAAAGCATGAGACCTAAGTTCATACCTGCAGCACCCACATAAAAGTTAGGTGTAATGGGTGCCTGTGACCTCAGTGTTACAGAGAAGAGATAGGTATAACCCATGGGTTCACTAGAAAGTTCTAGATTCAATGAGGACCCTAGATAGACAGACAGACAGACAGATAGATAAAGTGGAAAATCAATTGAAGAAAACAACCTGACATAAATCTCTGGCAAATGCACTTGGAAAAGCATAAACATGTGTACTTGCATCACACGAACACACACACACACACACACACACACACACACACACACACACGAGGAGAAGAGACCACAGACAGAAATGGAGGCACTGTAATGCAATGTGACACAATCATAGTGAGACCTGCAGCTTCCATCAAAGAAGACCAAGGCAGTGGAGGCCCAGGCCCATCCCTCTCCCAGCATTCTCTGACATGAGAACTCACCCGGTACTTGTTTGGGTTATGTCTCTCCACGCAGGCTCCCTTGAGGCAGAACTTGCTCTCACCACAGCTGGTGCCATCTGCCCAGGGGAAGTGGCGGGTCTGGCACACCATCTGCCCCTTGGCCTTGCCAGTGCACCACAGTTTCGTACAGTACTGCATATAGGGACAGGGCTTAGAGCCCACCCCGAAGGCCAGTTCGCACTGCTGACTCAAACTGTAGCTCGTGCCAGGCAGGTCCTCAGGCAGGGAGATAGGCTTGCTGGGCTGGTCCAGGAGGCAGTCACCTGCACAGATTCAAGGACACTTGTTAGGACAAGCTGTTGAAAGTGAAGCCTGGCTGACCTAGAATTTACATGGTAGAGAGAAAGAAAAGCAAGGAGCAACTAGAATAGACCCAGGTCAGAATTCTTTGTCAATTTTCGGGTACAGAGGACATCTAAAGAGGAGGTAAACACCGCCACCGAGGACAGCAGTGAAGGCCTTCCCATCCATCCCTGCTCCTCTTTGTCTCCTGGCTTACCATGCCCGCTGTCCAGGAAGTCAGTGATAATAGCAGCGCTGCAGGCTGACCAGGGGTTGGCACGATCAATCTGGATGAGTGTCGGAGACATCATGTGGTTGGCTCTGAGCTTCCCAAACACCTCCTCGCACACCTTCACGTTGTCATGAGGCATGTTGAATACATGGCCTGTGGGATGAAACAGAAGGAGTCAGGAGCCAGCAGCAAAGGACTGAGCACAGGCAATAGGGGCTGCAAGAGGAAGAAGCAAGAAAACCCCGTGATGGTTCTCAAGCTGGTTACTGGCACCTATCCATTGTCTTCTTTATAGATGTCCTAGGGACTAACTTGTGTCTCGCAGGGTACAAGCTTGTGTCTCCCATCTTCTCCATCAGGCTGTGAGCCAGGTAAGAACAGCAGGGTGTCACCTTGCCTTTAAGGTATTCTCCCCAAAGTACCCAAGTGTCAACTGGGCTACAGCAATCAGAAAAATTAAAGCCAATGCCAAGGCAGATGCTGGCCCCAGGAAAGGATTCCTACAGCTCCAAAACATGAGAATTCAAATATAAATGTTTCCTCTCCCATCGAAGCACCCAGCACAAATCCAGGTCAACCCCAGAGGTCACCTTCCCTCGAGTCCAGCCTTACCCAGCTCGTGGGCAGTGGTGAAGGCTGATGGAAGCCCATCATCCTCGATGACCGAGCAGCTTCTCTTGGGATCGCACATGGTGCCCACGTCAGCCATGCCCAGGGTGTCACAGGTGGTAGCCCCGCATAGGTCCTGCCAGGTGGAGGAGAAGCAAAGCCAGACTAAAGTTAGAGATGCTAACAGAAGGGACCTGAAGAAAATAAAGGGCATCCTATGGGCCTTGCAACTGCCATCCAACCCCAGCATCTTTCAGTCAGATCTTGCTAAAGGCTCACAGGGCTATTCATGGAATCAGCCCAGGCTGAAGGAAGTGGCCCCAAGAAGAAAGCTCTGTGGCCCGCTGAGAAGACGGTACCCTATGCAGGGAAGTGCTGTGGGAGGAAATTAGGAGGTACAAAATTAGACTACAAGGGCCACAGCTTTATATAGAGAAGGTCAGAAAAATAATGACTCCCACAGCAGGGTGGGGTTCTGATCACAGCTCTCTGAGATACGTGGGGGCTGAAGGCAGCCGTGTTCCCCATCCACAGGCAGCTCTCAGCAGTCCCTGTCTTTGTTGAGTGACCGCCTCTTGGACAACTATGAATTAAGTTCGGATTCCCAGCCATAGGCTGGCCAGCCAAGGATCTACCCCAGGCAGAGACTTGGCTTCCGTGAGCTGACAGGAAGCAGAGAGGGGTGGACCTGAGCCACTGTCTACACACAGCTTAATGAGCTACCAAAGCTCAAGGGGAACACGGGCTGAAGGCTGCTAGGGATAAAAAGATAGAGATCATCACCTAAGTGAGGGGGCCCTCTTTTTTATCTAGAAGCCTGGTGGTGCAGAAGCTAGGCTGTATTAGGAAGTATTTCCAGGGGATGCTAAAATGAACAATGGAACTCCATGGATGGAAATCTCAAAAGCTTCATTCAGTATTATAGACCCCGAATGCATCTAGAAACCTTGAGAACCCAGAAGTTGGAAATGGGACAACACTCATGTACAATTTGTTCCTCTCAGAAGGTCACACCAACATACTCTTCTTTCTGTCATTGTCTTTAAAACATATGGAGATTTGGTCCTCACAACAGTCTTAGGAGGCAGATATATAATCACATCTATTTGCAAAAAGTAGAAACTAAGGCTGGTGGTCATAACTAATCATGGCCATGGTTCACTAAGAGCCAGCACCGTGCACAAATTTCACATAAATGACCTATCTAAGCCTCACTACAGTCCACTGAAGTAATGACTAGTTATCCCCTCCCACAAACAAAGAAGCTGACACCTGGGGAGACTCAAGTCACACAAAAGAGTCACAATCTAAGGGTCTGTATGATTGGGGATTTGGATGTCGTAGCCAATGGCTCAGCAACACTTGAAGTAAGCTGCTGTGTCCTCCTGTGAAAACCAAGAGGTCAAGGTGAAGACACACACAGAGCTCTACTCAGTTTTGTTCCCTTCATATGTCTCTTTCAGTCCTGTCACTGTGTGTGTGTGTGTCTGTGTCTGTGTGTGTCTGTATTTCTGTGTGTGTTCGTGTCTGTGTCTGTGTCTGTGTGTGTGTGTGTGTGTGTGTGTGTGTGTGTGTGTGTGTATGCATATGCTGATCTGGGGGCAGTGGGAAGCGACAGGGTTAGTGGGGCCAGAAGGCATGAGAGGAAAGTGGTCATAGTACAGAGAGAATCAGCAAAAACTTAATCCAAAACACTCAGAAGTTTACCACCTGAGCAGTCAAACTTGTCTTCCCACGGTCAGGTGATAATCACACCTAATGAGTTAACAGTTTTTCTAGCCAGAGAAAACCATGAAGGTGACCAGACTGAACCCCAGGTGCCAGAGTCAGTGACAGGATCTATGCCTTTGTTTTACTGCCTGTGTGAATGGTATGCCACTTCAAGGAACTTCACAAGTGACCTCAAATTCCCTTCCTTTCCTTTCCTTTCCTTTCCTTTCCTTTCCCGGTACCCTTCCCTTTTCAAAGACTTCATCTCCCAGAAGGTTTCTCCCTAGAGCCCTAAAAAACTAATAAATAACCCCTCTCAAAAGATCACAGACAAGCTTTGGACAGGAGGTAAAGTGGAAGATGTGGAGGAAATACATAGTAGTTTGTGTGTTCCTTGATATATAACTTAACCCCTTAAGACAAGGGGTTTGGCCAAAGCACCATGTCTGTGCACACTAAAGCACAGACCCTAATTACTGGAGGTGGTAATCCTGAGATCTCAGCCCTACAGTTGAAACCTACAGCCTCTAGGAGGGCAAGCACATTCTGTGACTTCCAGGCCACCCACACACTCAGGCTGACCTCAAGCAAGAGACACAGGAATGAGAACCAAGAGATCTAGGTCCCACTGCTAAGTGACTGTGTGTCTTTGGCCAACTGCCTCTTTTCCTTAAGGGCTCAGTTCTCAGCTAGAACTTAAACCACCCCATGACTTGAACCTCTTCTCCTTCCTTCTCCAATCCTAAGTGCTCAGCCCTGCCTGGCCCTGTTGGTTATTGTAGGAACACACAGCATGACCTGCTTTACGAACAGAATGCATGGTAAGGGGGCCTCTAATCTACTGATGCATGCTGAGCATACAACTCACAGAGAAACGCAGGCTCCTCTGCCCCTCTGAAGTGACCCAACCAGAGGAAGGGCTGACATGGGAGCCTAACTTCCCTTGTAGCAGATTCTACAGCAGGGAGGTCTCTGTAGCAAGGCACCTTTCCTCTTTAGAGAGTAGCTCCTCCCTCCTGCAGGCAAGCAGCTGTAGGCCCTTCCTGAGCAGGAGCAACCTGTTCTCTCCATCGAGAAACCTCAGCTTCATGGATTAAACAAAGCGAGCAAGGAAAGCCAGCTAAGTCCCTGTGTGGAAGAGCAGAGCAGGGGACAGAGGGCCCCAGTCACCAGCATCTGCAGGATGGGAAGAGGAGCTGCCAGGGTCAGAAGTCCTTTCCCCCTTCACCCAATCAAGGAAGCAAATGACGAATGAGATTTGGAGCTTTGAACAGGCACAGGCATTTGCACAGGGCCCAGCTGCACCTCATTTATGGTACGGGATGTCTCCACCTTTCGTGAATGAACTCAGAGCCACTTGAATTTGCTTTAATCTCTCTAGCTCAGGCACCGGTCTCTAAAATATAGACGCTGCCCTGTTTCTTTCTGTTGGGAAGACGCAGGCATCTTTCAGCCCAGTTGCTACCTGATTCACTATTTCTGACAAGTTGCCATTTCTCTTACAATCATGGTTGCATCTCCAGAGGATCCAAGAGTCATCTCAGCCAAGAACCGGATCCTCCTGGACTCTGCTTTCCTAACTTTTCCTAGCCAGGTCTGGAGCTTTACGTAAACAAGGCTGGCACGCTGTAGTGACCAGAGACCTTTTTACCAATGTTGCTCCCCACACATGACTGCTGCCCAAATCCCCCATCCCTTGTGAACCTCTTCCTCACCTCCTCTGCTGCATACGCAGGTACTGAGACACTATTTCCCAGCAGCACAGGGGAAAGGGGAAGGGGAACCACAAAATCCAAGCAGCACATTAATATTTTTTTATTTGGCAGGAAAAAAATCTATGTGTTCTTATGTAAACAAGTTCTGAGCCAGGGTTCATTGTAAGAACCACATTCCAGTGTCCAGAACCATCAGAGAACTTTTCAGACGAGCTGAGGTTGCACACCCAAGGCCATGTACTATTTATTAAGCGAAACTAAGGGTCTTGAATTCATAGCTTTTGACATTCAGGCCAGCCCAACAGTGTTCTTGGTTCCAAATTGTATCCTACTGGGAAGGATACCACGATCACCAACAGAAAGCATTAGCTGGGCCCCTGTCTTGTTTCCCACATGAAGCTGTGCCTTGTATCACCATATATTTTGTCTGTCACAAAATCCATTTGTTTACAATTTCTAATGATGACTTTGCTTTTCCAGGAGTGAAATCTAGAAATTCAGAGCTCTTGCAACTAAGAAAAGAAGGCAGGCAGTGAAGCCGGGAAGGTGGACTATTCCCATTAACAAATATGGTATCACCATCATATAAATCCTTCCAGAAGTAGCAAATCCTATTGCCACAAGGGACTAGAATAGTCCAAAGGACAGGAATTGCCTCATTGAGGAAGAACAGAAGCCAACACTTGTAGGAATGCTGAACCTCTCTAGAACCTAGCACTTCAGGAGAGTGTACTTGTCAACTATATGATGACAGCTACTGAGTGGCCACAGCGTCCCAGACACTGCAACAAGAGCTCTGCTTGGATTACTCAATGAATGCCCCTTCGGAAGATATGCCATTGCTAAACTCTGTTTTACAGGGTTGCGCAGAGCCTCAAGTGAGGCAGAATAGAGGCTGAAAGGTAGGGAGTGTAGCCCCTGGGTTGAGTTCTAGCAAGAGTCCTTATTGCTTCTGGGGGGCATCTACTCCAAGAATGAAGGTGCAGAAGATACTCAAGAGGGAAGCAATCTTCCCCACCCCCCAGCCACCAGATCAAGACAGTGCTGGTGACCATAGGTGAGGAGAATCCCAGGGAGAGGGAACTGGCTAGATTAAGTGCTAACAGCAGCATCTGCTGAGGCCATGCTGGTTGAGCAAGCTGCTGGCTCCTCGCCCCACACCTGCACTGACACACTGACCCCGTCCCTGTCTACTGACTCCAAGGTGGATTAACATGCTCCGCGATGGGGCCCCACCTTCCTCAAGGGCAAAGCCTGGCGGCAGAGAGCCAAGAAGAAATGCCAGAAGAAATCAACACTGCAGCCTGACAGCCCGAAAGCTGGATTAATGGTCCCCAGGCAGAAGCAAAGTACCCAAACACCCAACAGCTTCAGGCAGCCCGCACTCTCCCCCAAGCCTTCCTTCCATGCATTTGATGAACCACCAGATACATGGCCTGTGCAGGGCTACAAAGACAGGATGTGATGCCTGCCTAAAAGGGATCGGCAAGTGCTGGTACCCACAATCCTCACACAAACACAAGAGTATTAATCAGGCAAGTGTGATATACTTGCAAGGGCAATGGTACAAAAGGCTTTAAATCAAGGCTACTCCAAATTTACATGCTGGCAAGGGACCTGTATAGACTTACTTAAGAACAAGAAACATAGCCAAAGCAACTGCTAAAATAATGAAACGGCAGCTGCCACCATTGGGGGCCTAGGCTAGATGATGAGGCAGCTCATCCTCAAAGGGCCGCACGCGCTGAATGTGATGCTATGCCTTCTAAAGATGAGGATGGTGGAGTTCAAGTAGCTGGCTCACAGTCCATTGACGGGAAGTTCAGTGCTGAGATGCAAGCGCAGCTCCGCTTGACGCCAAGCCGATTATTCCTCCCATTGCCCCATGTGTTCTAGTCAAGGAGTCCAGGCACAGTGGGAAGAGTGTTGAAGTGTGGAGGAAAGGAAACAACCCCGGTGAAGTTCAGAGGAATCGCTAAGGTAGGAGAGATCATCTTTGTTAACTAACCCAGTGATTACACGTAAGGAATGCAGCTGTAGTAACGGTTCGGTGGTTATTGCTTTTGCTTATTGCTGTTGCATATGACCTACGTTCCATTCCCAGCACCCACGTGGTGGCTCACAACCATCCACAATTCCAGTTTTAGGGGCTCCAGAGCCTTCTTCTGGCCTACGAGGGCACCAGGCACACATGTAATGCACATGCAGTCAAATATCTTATACACATAAAATAAAATGAATGAATTGGGTTTTTATTTCTTTAATAAGAGGGTGGGTGAAAGGAAGCCGTCACTTTGGTGGTTTAAGGCAGGAAGAGCAGAAGCTTTAAGGCCAACCTGAGCTGTATAGTAAAAATATTTCAAAAAGAAGAGGGGAAGAAAGTAGAGAAGGAAAGGACAGATAGGAGACAGGAAGGAAGGGAGGGAGGGATAGATGGGAAGACAGAGGAAGGAATAAGGGCAGGCTAAAGCTGAGGCAGTAAGATCCCATGAGCCCATGCTCTCAAACTAGCCGGTGATGCATAAGAAGATGCCACACAGAAGGAAGGATTCTCTCTACCATCACCCCATCTTTCTGCATTAATGTTAGGCTTACTTATTTGAGTAGGAAAGAACAAGGTGAGTTGTCATTCCATAAAACACACAACAACTATATTCCACCATTCCTTTTTCCCTACCTCCCTTTGCTCACTTCAAAAGCAGTGGTGCACTGCCATGTTGAGACCAAGAAATGACAACACCAAATCTTCAAATGTCCCCTCTCTCTTAATATCTTCCAAAGTCTAACTTCAAAACAAAGCCTGATGAAATAAAAATTCCTTCTTACCATGCTGAGAGGAGGATATAACCCACAAATCATCATATTGCTATTCATAGCTTTTAATCTGAACACTAAATGCATACCCCGCTGCAAGTATTTGATTTATAGAAAACATTAGGCTCTGTTCCCTGAAAGAGTCTGCTTTGCACAATGTAGAAAACACCCATCCTATGCTCCCACACAGACCCTGGAAAGATGGCTTAACAGTTAAGAGCAAATACTGCTTTTGTGGAAGATCTGAGTTCAGTTCCCAGCTCCCAGGTCAAACAGCTCAAAAACCACCTTCAACTCTAGCTCTAGGGGAAATCTTACCTGTCTGACCTCCATGGGCACCTACACTCATTTAGGCCGGCAAACACACACACACACACACACACACACACACACAACTTGGTACTGCTCAAAACCAAAACCAAAAAAAATCAGTGCCAAACTTTGGGGTTGGGAAAGCAGAAAGTTCAGAGTATGAATAAAAAAAGAAAAAGAAAAGAAAAGAAAGACAGTTGAGTTCCCCTGGATAATGGCAAAAGAGGAAGAAACAAAAGGTTAAAGACTGGAAGGAGAATTCCGTGAAATGACTCTAAGCAAAGAAAAACAAAACGGGTGAAAGCAGGAGGAAAGCATAAACGGCAAGTCGTAAAAATGAAAATGAAGTCATGTCAAGAGAGGAAATGTCACAAATAGTGAAACAGACGGTGGAAGGAGTGAAGGTCACCTACAGCACAGGCACAGACATCTCTCCACACACACACACACACACACACAGAAAGAGAGAGAGAGAGACTCACACACACACAGAGAGAGAGAGAGAGAGAGAGAGAGAGAGAGAGAGAGAGAGAGAGAGAGAGAGCTCTTTGCCACACTGATCATTCTCCGGGGTGGGGGGTGGGCCCACACCTTACTCATATGTACAGCTCCAGCCAGAATAGCACGTGGAAGTCACAGATGCTCAAGTAGTACCAAGAGGATGTGTGATCGAACGAGCAAAAGTCATTTTACCACGAAGGATTACTGTAACAACAGAGGCACTGAACCTAAAATCAAGGAGGACTCAGGAAACCGGGGGTTTACCGAGTCACAGCACTAAGTACCTGGCATCTGCGGCTGGTGCAATGAGGAGCCAGAGATGTTGTGCTCCTCATAGAAATAAGTGGGAATGACTCTGGCTCTGATCCTCGGCAGCTCCTCACTCCTCTCCTGGGCTGACCTCACCCTGCTGTTATGAGCCTGGAGGCTGGCTGCTTTGCAAAATCAGATGTGCACTCTTTGTCCATGAACTTATTCTGAATCTTTACAGAATCTCTTCCAATTGTCAAAACACTTGTTGTATGATCAATGTATTCTGTCTTCCGGACAGCTAAGGTTCCTGGAGATCACATTTGTCTTGCTCTAGAAAGAACAGCTGTTTGTCCGTGTTCTCATCCAATACTGTACCTTCCCCGGGGAGACTAGGGGTGGGGGCGACTCAGGAATGAGTAGTCTCTAACTCTGAGAGTCCAGCAGGCCCCAAAATCTGTGCTGACAAGGAGGTGGGGGAGGAGCTGTTTGTACAAGCATGACACACATACCTTGATGACCGGCCTGCCAACACAGACTGCCTGCTCTCTGGTTTTGCCCTCTAAATGCCTGAGAGAAAAACAGTTCTAACAGGCACATCCTTCACATCACCGTTTCTGACCCAAGTGGTCATGCAGCTTGTACCCATTATACACAGATGACAAGGCCCCCTGGGTGTCTAGCACACCACTGAGAAACAGAAGCTCCATGCTGTTTGATTGCTTCTTCAAAAAGACCATCTCCTTCCGATGGCATGGCCTACTCTCCCGGCGGGGGCTCTTCTTCTCGGGGCTGGTTCCAAAACTCAGCCTTGACAACTGGACTGAGGTCTGTTATTCTAGAGCGAGGGAGCAACCTCCGCAGGGGCATCTCAGGTAGCAGATGGGACAACAGCTGCTTTGCCCATTAAGAGATCCTGTTCTTGGCCTTTGCTTTTTCTCCCAGAAATCTGCCTGCAGATCTGCTCTGGGTGCAGAAGTTGAAGCTTCTTCTGCAGTTTCCCCATGGCTCAAGCAGGGCTTGTCGGGCTGGGCTGCTGCCGCTCAACAAACCTCAGTTGGAAGAATGAGCTAACACAAAGAAACAAGGCTCAGGCCAAAGACCTCCCTAGAGAAACCAGGTGGTGGGAGGAGAAGAGACTGGGAAAGGAGGAAGTTCCATCGCAGGAAGGGACTGGCTGTGCCAAATGGGTTACTGTGGAAGACTCCGGCTCCAGCTCGCGGGCGCCAGACCAACTCTAAGTGGCCATTTAGAAACAAGGAGAGTTAGCGGTTGGGAGGTAACCAAGAACCATGTATGTGGCCGTAGCGTTGTGGTTATGATAATGAAAAAACAAGAGCACTGCCGGGATTCAAGTCACGGCCCCCAAAAGCACAGAAAGTGGGGTCCTCGGATGACTCTTTTCCTCCAGTGTCTAAGGAATGTCAGGAATCCAGGTGGCGCCCAACCTTTGAGTCCACCCTTCGGGCTCTAAATGTCTACCGGTTGATAGCTTCTTGAGATAGAAGGTTGGTAAAGACATGAGGAAGACAAGGCTGTCTTCACCCATCTGGGTCCATCTCTCTAGCCCCAATTCAGTGTCTTTCCAGCCCTGCAGCTGGAGTGTCCAAATGCTCTTGACTAGGCTCACACCACCACCTTGCAACGGCAAGGGCTGAACGGGAGCCCTGCCCTCAAGGGAGCGTCTTAGGACTGGAACACGAGCGGTCTTGTCTGCTCTGCTGCTTAGACTGCAGCTGGGCAAACGGGGCATCGTCTACTAACAAGGGTCGGAGAAAACTGGAAGCTTCCCGAGCTCAGTTCTAAGTGAGACTCCAAGTGAAATAGTTCCAAACAGGTGGCCTTACTAGACTGCATGCTCAGAATGGTATGGAAGCCACTGGACGAGGCCCAACAGAGAAGGATGCAGGGAGAAGCAGCCACGGAGTATACGCTTAAATCTGGCCTTTCTCAGCAACCCACAAACTATCGCAGTGATCCCCTCCATCTCAATCCAGGATTCCCAGACCCAGGACAGAGAACCAAGGACGTGTTGTCCACTAGAAATGGAGCAGGCACTGAACTTGAATCACCTTCCAGTACTACACCCCGCAAAAGTAAGCCTGCTAGGAGATGTCAGAGAAAATTTGGCCACCCACCTAGGAGAGGCGGTTCCCATTCCCACCATCTGCAACACCATCCTCATAGCGCCTCCTATCGGCCGTGAAGACAAACTGCAGCTCAGGGGCGGCAACTTCCCGGGTTCCAGCCCCTCAGCGCCTGATCCCGAAGGCGCTGATTGGCCGCATCAGGACAACACCTTCGGAAGAAGCAGGCTCTCCTCCAACCTCCCAGAAGCACGTGAGGTGGAGCTCTGCTGAGCTTAGGAGAGGGCTCTAATTAGAACTTCCAACGCTAGAATTCGGAAGAAACCAATTTCAAGGAAGCATTGAGTGACACAAAAGGACTTTGGAGAGCTAAACGCAATGACCCTAAGAAAATGGGGTTGAGTCCTAAAAGGTGACAGATCAACTCACCTGTCTGGTGAAGAGGATGGCTGTGTCCCAGTACTCAGGGTGCTTGTCGCTCACTTTGTTCAGCTTTTTCTGCCAGGCACAGAAGTTACGCAGAGTCAGGGCTGCGTTGCCTGTGACCTTGGGCCCAGTGTCACGGTCTCCTAGGAGTAACACCTTGACCACAACGATGTTGATGGGGTTGAGGATGCTGGGGTGGCGGTAAAGTCGCGCCGCCGTAGCCAACAGCGTCAGCAGATAATGTTCCAAGTCCGCGCCGTGAAACTTGACCATTGACTCGTCCGCCACCACCAGTGTCTCCACGTACCGTGGGATAGACACGAAGCGCTTGGCGCGCCCGGACCTGCGCCGGCTGTGGGTCTCTCCCACGCCCGTCCGCCGTGGCTTGTAAGGGTCCAGGGCCCTCAGGATCCCGGGGTTCCAGCCTGAGGCCACCCCACAGCGAGAGGTGAGGTCTCCGGAAGGCCCTACTGGAGCACCCCGGCGCTGGAGAAGGTGTGCGCCCTGGCTGTGACGCTGCGCCGCCGGCGCGCTGGCGTTGGGCAGAGGTCTAATGACATACTCAGCGCCTCGGTAGCCGAAGGCTCCGCGGAGACCCCCGCACAGGCTCACAGCAGCAAAGGAGTCTGGCTCCGCGTTCACGTACCCGGAATAGAAGCAGCGTCGCAGGTCTAGAGAGCTGCCCGTGAGCCTCTGGAGGGGGACACCTAGATACTCAGTAGCGAAGGCGGGAGCCAGGAACTGGGCATCCGGCGTCAGGTGTAGGTAAAAGTCCTGCTGGAAAGCTGTGATCTGAAAAATGAGACCCTGATCCCCGGAGTCCTCCGTACCCCTCCTGTAGTAGTGGCGGCCATTGATGTCCGGGTCCTGTCGGATGGGAACGACCACCTCCCACTCTGGCTCGGAGCTGCCAGCAAGTCGCCAGGCGAGAGCCAGGATTGAGACTCCCAGCAGAAGCATGGCGCCGGGCCGCGCACAGCCGCGCACTGGAATGGGACTTAGCCCGGCTCCCACGGCAGGCACTGTCTGCTTATAGCCCACAAACCAACGCCCGGGACAACGGGCAGCTACCAGAAAGGACAGCCAACCAAGTCAGGGAGACTCCTCCCTGAGTAGCAAGCGTGCACAAGGCAGCCCGCGCCTCCTACCTGTTCCTCCCTAAGCAAAACGCGCTCTGGGAGCTTTAGTACGATCGCTGTCAAGTGCACAGGCGAAATTTTGTCGTGGGGAAGTGGCGCGAGGTAGCAGGCTGCTTCGCTAACCGCAGCCACTCGCGGTGCAGCAAACCAGGCGCAGGGCGAGCCTATTAAATGCCCCCTCCTCTTTGGACTGCCCAGTCAGCGCCCCTCCCCTCACTCCCCTCCCAGCCTCCCAGAGCTCGCAGCCTGGAGCCTCCAGGGGCCACCGGAGAACTCGGTCCCGCCTCCAGAACAAGAGCCACTTGGCAGGGAGGGAGTGGCGTTATGCTGAGGCAGGAGGCGTGGGCTGACCTAAGAAACCAATGCTGGAATCTATTCGAGTTTTGTCCTCGGTACCCCAATGCATCAGTCACTACTGCCTGGATGAGCATCTGTGAGCTCCCTAAGTCTTACCAAGGCAACTGGGGTCCAGAGTCAGGAACCAAACAGTACTGACCCCCTTTCCCAGACCCACCTCTGTTCTCCAGTTGCAAAAGCCCTCACCGCTGCTTCTGAACCACCAAGTTTCCTAAAAGACTTCAAACCAAGGAGGCCGGCCCCTCTCTACTTCTGAGAGTTGGGAGAGCAACCTCCAAGAAACAGAGCCAGACATTCTTGAACCCAGAGCCACCCAGGCCCACGGGCTGCCCTGTGGGGTTAGTGCTGTGTTGTATGGGTCCAGACAGGCTGCCAGATTTTTCAGGAATTCTGCCAGGCCACTATCAAATGCAGCCATTATTTAAAATTAAATTATATAAACTTACAATTAAATAAATTGTATTTTAAAACTAAGATGATAAATTCTCAAAACCCCATCACTTCCTAATTATCCAATTTGTTATCTCTATCTTGAGCCACTGAGACCTTCAACCCTTCCCCCACAGCCCAGAGTTCCCAGAGAAGCGAACAGGAGAAGGTGGGAATACAAAAGGTCTGGCACTTAGTGTCTCCATCTCCCCATACAGGTACAGAGCAATGGGCGCTCAAAATCGGACATGGTGGAGGTACAGCTAATGCCAGCCCTTAGCAGACATTTACCAGAATCATAGTGCCTGAAGGGGATGGACAAGCAAACTCCCGCTGTCTTCCACTATGGAGCGATGGGGGACTGGTGGGCATAGAAAACGTGCGCTACGCATCTTCTGTATGTCACTTGATCCTTGTCCAAGTGTCCTGCAGGATACTGGAGTGGGAGATCTGGGGGAAACACAGCCATGCTGCAAACTTCCTATCCCACTTAGAGATAAACCTGGGGACCTGTGTGTGCCACTAGACTTCAGAATTCTCATGTCTTTGCATAACCTGGGACAGGAGACATGGCTCAGTGGTTAAGAGCACCTGTTCTTGCAGAGGACCGAGGTTCAGTTCCTAGCACCCACATAATGACTCGCTGTCATCAATAACTCCAGTGCAAGGGGATCTCATGCATCCCAACATCTTCTGGCAAAAGGATGCATGCAGGCAAAACACTCCTTGTACGTAAAATAAAATATGCAAATCTGGGCAGAATCTCTTTTTTTTTTTTTCCTCCAACAAGGAGTCTCTCTTGATAAGCAGAAAGTCTTTCACGAAACAAAATGCTCTGGATTGCATTGGGAAGAGACCAGTAGAGGGAGAGTGTGACAGTTTTAAGGGTAAAGGAGGTGGTGAGAAAAGGTTGGGGATTTGTGTTACAGCAGTGCTGCTCAAGTAAACAGTTCCGTTGTCAAAGGAAAGAGAAAGCTGGGTCAGGTCCATCAATGAAGAGCACTTTTTGCCCATTATCTTCTCCCCATAAAGAACCTTAGGGGAGTCCACTGGGGCTTTGGAATGGGAAGACTGACAGATGCCCATAATTCTACTGAGGCCCCTCCTTAACTGAGACAAAGGATCTGAAATTCATTATGTGAATGAGTAAGAGATGGGTGTTTATACTCTATAAATGAAAGGGAAAGTAGGCATATGGGAGGAACGTGTGGAAGAGGGAGTTACAGTTTACAAAGGCCTTGTGTTTGAGTGTTCAAAGAAGGCCTATAATTAAAGAGCGACTCGGCAATGAAAAGTCATTTATTTAGAGCAAGCAGTCCCTTCCCTACACCCGACAGTTCTGATGGTGGGCCACAAGACGTCCAACCACATTTTACTTTCACTACGATAGCTTTGAACAAGGTCTTGCTGCCTGTCAATCAACACGGCAAGTCCAGGGAGAGGAAACCTTCCCCACCCCGAAGAGCTTCCAATCTCTCTTCCCCAGTCACAGCCTTTCGAAAGAGCTCACCCCTGAGCATGGAACCTGACTGTGTGGACATGTACAAAGGCACTAGCATGTGTTGCACACTTGCTAGAACCAAGCACTACACCAAAAGTTTTATGTGCAGTATCTTATTTCATACTTGTCCCTGTCCTTTTGGGAAGACAATTCCATCCAGTCACTTTTGCCAGGGGTTTCTAATGAGGACATTAAGGCAGAGGGATACGGTGTTATAAAGCACAGGCAAGTAGAAGTTAGGAGAACTCAGAATCCACCCTGCTAATATTACTGACCTGATTCTCAGACTCTGAGTTTCCTTGTCTGTCAAGTAAGCAGGGGCCAATCTAGGTAAGAGGTGCTTTGTCAGAGCACCACATTGGAAAGCCCTGGTCTCTGAAGACACTTCTACATCTGCTATTTATGTCTATTTGACTGAGGTCTGCAAAAGGTAGTGTAGCGTAAGGATA